CGTTGACCAAAGTTCAACATTTAGAACTTTGCCTTTGCCTTTAGCTTCTTTTCTCAGCTATTTGTAAGGCCTCTTCAGACAACCATTTTTGCCTTTTTGCATTTCTCTTTTCCTGGGAATGGTCTTGATCACTGCTTCCTATACAGTGTCACAAACCTCAGTCCATAGTTCTTCAGGCACTCTGTCTATTAGATCTAATATCTTGAATCTATTTGTCACTTCCACTGTATAATCATAAGGGATTTGATTTAGGTCATACCTGAATGATCTAGTGGTTTTCTTGACATTCTTCAATTTAAGTCTGAATTTTGCAATAAGGATTTTTTGAATTTTGCAACAACCCACTTAGAATGGGCTAAAGACCTTAACAAACATCTCATCAAAGAAGTTATAGAGATGTCAAATAAGTATATAAAAAGATGCAACACATCATATACCATCTGGAAATGCAAATTAAAACAAGATATTAAAACATAGCTATTAGAATGGCCAAAATCAGAATCACAACAAATACTGGTAAGAATGTAGACCAACAGGAGCTGATGGGAATTCAAAGTGTCACAGCCACTTTGTAAAGCTATTTGGCAGTTTCATACAAAACTAAACATGCACTTACCGTATGATCCACCAATCATGCTTATTGATATTTACCCAAAGGAGTTGAAAACGTTATGAACACACAGAAACCTACACATAGTGTTTGTAGCAGCTCTAATCATAATTGCCCAAATTGGGAAGCAACCAAAATCTATAATAGGACTCTGAGCTAGAGATGGCAACTGTATGTCATATCCCATATTAATGTCATACTGAGAACCTTCACTATATGATTTCTGGCCAGACAAATTACCTGTCAAGACATTTTCCAAAATTACTCTAAAAATCTATCATTTGGTTCTGCTTATGTCATTTTGTGAAGGAAGAGTTCTATTCTGTGCACTGAGTTTTATAATAGGTACAGATTTCTCATTTTGAATTTTAAGTCTTAGAGTCATTCTGAGGTAGCAAAGCATAAATTTCAGTCTCTGCTCTCAAACTTGCTTGTAATTTTATTTGGTAAAATGCTGAATGGAAACTATATAAAGCCATCACTATACCTTGTAGCTTGGTTTATGAGTGCTGTCATCTGTAGAATTTTCTGTTTCACTAGTTTGAGTTTCTTTGGAAAATCTACTTAATTATAAATAATTATCTATGAAAGCATTATTTTGAGCGTCTCCGAATGAGTATTTCTTTAGAACTGGGCAAAGTGTGTACAACTGAGCACTAGTGGAGAGTGCAGTTTGAGAACCAAACAGTAATTTGTTTTGAGAATAAGACCATAAAGAGGAATCAGGAGAATCGCATGCTATGCCAGAACCCTGATTTTTAACACCTACTGAGGGTGCACAGGGGAGTTGGTTTTAAGCTCCAAAATAACCATTGGAAAAAAAGTACATCAGGTAGTTTATAATCTAAGCCCCTTTGGGCTTTGGTCTAAAAACCTCCTAACATATCTTGAATGAGTTTTCTGACATTGGAGGGCCTGTTAGAAGAGTCTGCAAAAGAAGATACCAGCTTTATTTCTGAAGTTTCTGTTTCTTGAATGTCTGTTTTCATTGTGGGTTTATGGGTCAGTCTTAAAAGTCTGATTTGAGAACTTCTAATTGTGCATGCAGTTTTCCATTTTCCTTTTTCCTATTAGATGTATTCTTGAGTTATACAGGGATCTTATGGCTATTTTGGAAAATATGCAGCTTCAGTATAGTTTAACAGGATAAGGATGGCCACAGTGTACAGCGGAAGATTTTGTCACATCCTCTGCCTGTATTTCCAGGACTCATTCATTATCGTATGAATTAACACACTTATTGTATTTATGGCTCTTATATTAGCATGTATTTTCAAGAATATTTTTATTAAAGTATGGTTGATTTACAATACTGTGTTAGTTTCAGGTATACAGTATAGTGATTCAATTACATAAATATATGTTACTTTTCAGATTCCTTTCTCACATAGGTTATTGCAGAATATTGAGTATAGTTCCCTGTGTGATACAGTAGGTCCTTATTGGTTACCAGTTTTATATATAGTGGTGTGTATATTTAATCCCAGCCTCCTAATTTACCTTATCCCACCCATCTTTCCCCTTTGGTAATCCTAAGCTTATTTTCTGTGTCTGTGAGTCTCTTTCTGTTTTGTAAATAAGTCCATTTGTGTCTTTTTTAAAATTCCACATATAAGCAATATCAGATATTTTTCTTTCTCTGGCTTACTTTACTTAGTATGATAATCTCTAGGCCCATTCGTATTGCTGCAAAAGGCATTATTTTATTTTTTTTATGGCTGAGTGATATTGCATTGTATATATACACACATCTTCATCTATTGCTGGACATTTAGGTTGCTTCTGTGTTCTGGCTGTTGTAAAGTGTTGCAGTGAACATTGGGATGCAAGTATCTTTTCGAAGTATGATTTTCCCTGGATATATGCCTAGGAGTGGGATTGCTGGATCATATAGTAACTTGGTAGCCCTGTTTTTAGTTTTTTTAGGAACCTCCATACTGTTTTCCATAGAGGATGTATACCAGTTTACATCCCACCAACAATGGAGAAAGCACTGGCACCCCACTCCAGTACCCTTGCCTGGAAAATCCCATGGACGGAGGAGCCTGGTAGGCTGCAGTCCATGGGGTCGCGCAGAGTCGGACACGACTGAGCGACTTCACTTTCACTTTTCACTTTCATGCATTGGAGAAGGAAATGGCAACCCACTCCAGTGTTCTTGCCTGGAGAATCCCAGGGATGGAGGAGCCTGGTGGGCTGCCATCTATGGGGTTGCACAGAGTTGGACACGACTGAAGCGACTTAGCAGCAGCAGCAACAATGTAATAGGGTTCATCTTTCTCCACACCCTCTCCAGCATTAATTATTTGTAGACTTTTTGGTGATGGCCATTCTGACTGGTTTGACATGATACCTGGTTGTAGTTTCGATTTGCATTTCTCTAATAATTAAAAGTGTTGAGCATCTTTTCATGTACCTGTTGGCCATCTGTATGTCTGCTTTAGAGAAGTGTCTATTTAGATATTCTGCCTAGTTTTTTATTGCATTGTTGATGTAGAAATCTTGTCTCCCTTTAAGTCCTTTTACCCTCCCCCATTTACTAGATACAGATTTGTTTTTTGCTCTACCCATGATTTACATTCCCTTAAAGCTGGTTTTCATGTTTTTCATTGATATTTCTTTAGCATAATCATGTGTTATATGAGCCATTGTTTTTTTGAATATTGCGTTTGTTCTTTCCTGGAATCCCTATTAGGTAAATATTGGACCTCCTCATTCTGTTGTTTATGTCTCCTGAACTTTCCTTTGTATTTGTTCTGTCTTTGTTTGTTTGTTTGTTTTTTGTGTGTTTTTTTGTTCTGTCTTTTAATCTGTGCTCTATTATAGATAATTTCCCCTGATTTGGCTTTTTTTTCTAGCTTACTAATTGTCTCTTTAGCTGTATCTGTTTTGTTCTTAAACTTGTCATTTGATGTCATTTAAAATTTTTATTTAAATGCTCTTAGTTTAATTTCCTGAAGTTCTCGTTGGTTCTTTTTAAAATCTGCTGGCTCTTTTTATTATGTATTTTTATTACACTTTTTATGTATTAGTATTTAAAATTATTTTAAAATTTCTGTTTAATAAGGCTATAATCTGAAGTTCTTTGAGATCTAATTTAGTTTGTGTGTCTTTTGACTCCCACTACGTTTGGGTTGTTTCTTAGAATGTTTTTAAGATTGAATTGTGAGCTCATTTTTTAAAAATTTATTTTCAATTGAAAGATAATTACAATATTGTGTTGGTTTGTGAGCTTATTTTCAACAAACTCTTGTCTGGGGTTTAGTTTGTGCCTGAGTTGAAGTCATGTCCCTCCAGTAAACTTTTGTGTGTATTTCCACCAAGTTTTCTAGATTATATTACTGTCCTGGAATCAGATTTTATTTTGATTTCTTATCTTGAGATTGAGATTTCCCTACGAAGATGTTTAGTTATTTTTGTTACCCTGCCTTAGCAATGTTTGGCAAGCTGATTTCCTCTAGTCTGGCCTCTCCACTAATAGTGTAGCTCTTAGTGGCTTTATATGGGGGATCTTATTTCTAAAACTTGTGTTGCAGACATTTCTGTGGCCTCATCTTCTGTTTCTGAGTTAGAAGACAAGACTCTAGGCTACTGAGACAGGTAAACCCAACCATATCTAATATAACATCAGTTCATAGTCTTATTACTCTGATTTGACACCAAAGGACTTCTCTTAGAGATTGTTCTGAGTTTTGCTATACATTTTAAAGGATGCTTCTTACATCTTCTTTAGTATGTGTGTTTTGTGGTGAGAGTACTTTCAGATTATCTAGCTTCCATATTTCCAGAAATTATGGTCTGTCTACTTATTTGTTTATTGACTGTGAATTGCATGAGAGCAGGGTCCCTGCCCATCTAGTTCACCATAGTGCCTGCTACATACTTTTTTTGTGTGTGTGTGGATTCAGTGAAATACTGTTCATTACAGATTTATTTATGCTAATGAAAACCTGAAATGAACCCAAATGTCTAATATTAGGGGAATACTTAAGTAAATGGTTATATTTACTTGAAAGCAAATGGCTGTTGCTCATATAAAGCTTTTCAGTAGAAAATCATCCTTTGAAGGGCTAAATTATAAGACTGAAAAGTGTTAAAGATTGAGTATAGGTGAAAAAAATCTGAACTCAAGTTTGAATTTAGATTATGGTAACTTTATGCAAAGCAAAAAAGTACTAATGAATACTATAGTTGTTTATGTTACCGTGGTAGATTGAGGATCCCCTTTTACCCTTTATATTTCAGACCTCCTATAGTGTGTTTTTATAATGAAAATACTAAGAAGAAAAAATGTGCATTAGTTTTCTTTAAAGTTCTTAGATTTAAATACACTAAAAAGTTGATAAAACATAAAATTTCAGAATTAGTTTTATTATTAAAATGTTTACAGACTTTTATATGAAAACACAGAGAAAGATCTTTCTGATACTCAGCGACACCTTGCTAAGAAAAAATATGAGCTACAGCTTACTCAGGAGAAAATTATGTGCTTGGATGAAAAAATTGGTGAGTTTTTTCCTGATGTTTCTTTTTGTTTTTTAAGTCTGGAAAAAAAAAGTTTTCTTCTCTTCAGTTATAACATAGAGAAACTTAGAAATAGACCCTTAAGTTAAAAGTTTTTAGTCAAAAATCATGAGAAAATTATTTTTCTTTGATAGTAAAATGTTTTACTTAAACTTAGATCCATAAATACTTAGACATGGTTTCATATTTTTCAATGAAGGAATAGCTAAACAAAGCAGCAGTACTTTGTAAATTTATCATGATCAATTTTAAATTTACAAGCTTTTATATTATATTATGTCATGCCCATAGCTGTTGTAATGAAATGTATTACATATATACTATTTTTGCTAGAAAGTATACATAGATTTGGATATATCTATAGTTCATTTGAGTTTATAGAGAAAATTATTTTTATGAAGTCTCTTATTATTGTTTCTTACCAGTGTTCTTTATGAAAATATGGTCATAACTTAATCTTCTTGTAACTTTAAATTAAAATTTTGGTCAGGACAATAAAAGTAGTCATTTTAAAACTGAATAAGATTTTTAAGATTTGCTATTATGCAGATCAAAAATATCTGACATAAGCAATTAGGTGGGTGGGGTGCTTTTTACTGAGACAGAAAGTATTAAAAGAAAATATAAAAGGAGAATATTGAAGAACTCAGTTTTGGATTTTAAGTTCAAGTAAAAATGTAGGGTAAGTAGGTAAATAGATAAGTTAGTATCTCAGAAGAGAAATCTAAGCTAAAGATATACATTTAGGACACATCAGCATGTAAATGATATTTTAAAACCGTGAAATCACCTAGGGAAAATGTAGAGAATGAGGAGAAGAGGATCCAGGACTGAGTAAGAAGAAGCCAAAGAAGTAGGAAGAAAACCCAGAAGTGAGTGTTATTTGGGGAGGCAAGAGAGCAATGTGTTTTAGAAAGGAGGATATGATCAATTGTCAGATACTTTCAAGAAGCGAAATAAGATGAGAATGAAAATATATTGATTGGATTAACACATTGGAGGTTTTGGAAACATGGGTCCCCCAAAAGTTTGAATTATAGTGTTAGATGAAAAAGATGGAGTAGTCTGAGGAATGATTGGGAATGAAATGGTAGAGACAGGAGAGAACAGAAGTCAAACAGAAGTTTGGCTATTAAGAATAGCAGAAAAATGGGGTGGTAGCATAAATGGGATGTGGGGTTAACTTTTTTTTTAAGGTAGGAGATCCTAGAATTGGCTTACAGTTTGTTTTCTGCCAATGGGAATGAACTCAGATATCAGAACACCCAAAACAAGTGGTTTGCCTAGAAAAGAAACAGGATACATCCCTTTTGTATACATCACCCTCTTGTGATATGGAATTCCACTCTCAGTGCTGCACTGGGTGGCCCTTGGCAGTCGTTAACCTAGAGGTCTAGTCACACCAAGTTTCTTTGGGTAGAGATGGTCTAGACCAGTGCTCCTCAAACTTCAGGAGAGCTAAGCTCACTGGAGCCAGGCTCCTCGGAGTAGGATATGCCAGGGCTTTTGTATCTTTCCCAGGGTGCTTGTTGAAACATAAATTGCTCTGCCCACTCAGAATTTCTAATTCAGTAGGTCTAGGACGGGACCTAAGGATTTGTATTTCTAACAAGTTCCCAGGTGATGCTGATGGTTCTGGTTGAAAAACCACAATTTGAAAACCACCTTTCTATACCAATTATACAGGACTTCAACACTGACACTGGCATTCCAGCAAACTTACAAAGCAAATCAGACTTCCTGGGATGATTTTTTTCTAGGAATGTTTATAACAGTGCTGTAGAGAAAATCAGAATATTAGAAGATATTTGACTCCGATGATGACTTAACTGAATATATTTTTAAGATCTGGTAGTTACCAATTTATATGCAATAGTGATTTGAAGCTAAAGGAAGGTGAAATTAGAAGAGAAAAAAAATCAACATTCCATGTACTTTCTCCACACACCTTCCCCTCTCCCACCACACATTCTACTTTGAGAACTTGTTATATAGAACTTTCCTTTGCTGTTCTAATTCAAATGTGTTAATTGTGCTTTTTCATTTATAAGTCATTTAGAATGATTAATCTTCATTTTTAATCACTAACAACAAAAGCCATTTTAAAATTTGGGATAGAGTATTTTATCTTTAGTCACTGAATATAGTATAGGAGTATTTACTTAGAAAAGTACTTCACTCTGCTTGAACTGGAAAAATTTTTATCTTTTTTAAAACAATGCCTTTATGATTACACATTTAGATAATTTTACAAGACAAAGTATTGCCCAACGAGAAGAAATCAGCATTCTTGGTGCAACCCTCAATGATTTGGCTAAAGAAAAGGAATGCCTGCAAGCATGTTTGGATAAAAAATCTGAGAATATTGCGTCCCTTGGAGAGAGTTTGGCAATGAAAGTATGTTCTGAGAACTGTGATTTAAAAGAAATGTTTGAACTTGAATCTGAATAAAATAATAGGATTTTCCCAACTTTTTTTCCTTAGAGAAGTGAAACTTTAAAATCTAATTTTGAAATATTTCAGGATAGTCTTAGGAAATATGTGTTCAAATTCACTAGCTAATATTTTTAAATAAATTTTTCTAGCATCAATTTCTGATCAACTTTTACTAACAATAACTAATTCAAACATCTCAAAATGTAAAGCATAATTTTAAAAAAGCAGTGAGACTGATTTCTTTTTAAAAGCACAGCAGAACTTATATTTTCAAGTAGCCACCTTGGGAGGCAATATATGTCATTAAATACAATGAAGTTTATATTCAAAATTAGGATCATGTTTTTCCATCATCATCAGCCTTTGAGAGTGGATCATATGGAACTGGTAAAAAAATTGGGTGATAAACTTCATTCCACAGTTTTGTTGTTCAGACAACGACAAATAAAGGTGTTTTGAAATAATGACCGCCTTTCTAGCTCATAAACTGATTCTGAAGGCAATTCCTAAACTGTTTTCTACAAATGTCTTAAGCAAAGGGAGCTTCACTGGCTTAGGGTCTTTCCCCTCTGTAAGGGCACTAACTTAGAGGGTCTTTCCCTCTAAGGGAACTAACCCATTCACTCATCCATCCATCCATCCATCCAACAAACATTTATTGACATGTACCAGGTATTACGTTAGAAACTGAGACTGAGTGGGCATACCTTCCAAAGGCCTGTGGTATAATTCAAAGCAAGATAAAGAAAGATGCTGTTATGATGGAATATGCCAAGCACCATAATGGCACATGCACAATGTATGAGTGAAGTTTGGCAGAAACACCTGATTCAGGCCAGGGGTTGGATTAGGGGAGGAAGAATATCTAGGAAGCCTTCCACACAGTGATGGTGCTTATACTGCCCTGAAAGATGACTAGAAATTAGCCAGGAAAAGATTTAGAGAAAGGAGTGATCCAGAATGATAGAGCGCTGTTCAGAGAAAAGGTGATCCAAACAAGTAGAGCAACTTATATGGAAGCCCAGTGGCTTTCATCAGAGAATTTGGTGAGATTTCTTGACAGTTTAGCATGTCCAGAGAATAGAGTGCAAGGAAGGGAGTACGGGGGCATGAAGACAGGTAAAAGGTAAGATGGGATAGATGAGCAACAAGTCAGAAATCCTTGAGATGTTCAGTTTAGATACCATCATCATGGATGTAGAGGATCATTGAAATCATGTAAATGAATTGTTACAATTAGATCTTTTAAGCATTATCCTGTCATTTGTTAATCCATGTAAAAAGTGGGTTGTAGGAAAATGAGAGTAGTGACAGGACACTAGTTAGGAGTAAAGTGATAAGAACTGTATTAGAAGTGACAGTGTCCATGAGAGAAACAGACGGCTCTGTTTAGGAAGTAAGACTGACAGGATGTGCTTTTTGACTTAGGAGCCCAATGACTAGTTCCTGTGTGTGAAGTAGGAGACACAGGACACAGAGCAAGCTTAGTGAGGAAGGTTATCAACATGCCTTTGTGACATGAGTTGAATCTTGTATTTTAAGGTTTGCAGAGAAAATTGAAGTTAATAGATTTGGATATCATGAGCATAATTGAAGTTATCAAAGTACATGAGATAGTAAATTTTGGCTTAACTGGAAAAGTCTGATTAATTTCATGTCTTCCACTCTGCTAACTGTACCAATATTATCTTCTTCTTCACAAAGAATATTGAGTTGCAAGTCCATTTCAAAATTGAGTATTATATAGGATTATGAATGTAAACACATCCATCCTATGTAGGGAAAAGTGTTACACATTCAAAAGAGGAAATGTTCTATACAGTGATATTTCAGAGCTGAATTTATAATACCTTTCAGTGAAAAATAGTAGTTTTATTAGTTTAATCTGAAGATTACATTGGAAAAGTAATTACTGTGGAAAAGTCTGTATTATAGTGAATAAAGTGAATTTGGTCTGGTAATCATAGTTTTTTAAAATTTGTTCTACTACTTGATACCAATTAAAGTTAGAAAATTCAATAGCAAGTTCACAGACTTTTGAATCATAAAAGTCAGAATTATTTGTATAAAATTTTAGTTTGTTTCTTTTTTTTAAGTAGATATATGACCACCCTGTCCACGTTGAATTTTTAACAATTGACTTGAATCTATGTCTCTGATTGGACAAATATATTGAGATTGTACAAGGATTATCAAGTTGATAATGATATAAATTTTAAAAAATGGTACTATTAGGGTCACATTAACAAAAATAGTCTAGGAGGATATATTATTGGATTCTATACAGTAATTTTGTTTGCCTGGAATACTTTTGCAGTATTTTTAGAGAATCTTTCAAGGAATTTCTGTTGATAAAAGAGAGATCTTTTTAGGCCTATAAGCCATGTTTAAATCTTAACCAAGTAACAGCTGTCAGAAATACTAGAAATTCAGTTAGCTTTTCAGAATTTATTTAGAAGTGTGTTAAATTGTATTTCCAAAGCATTTGTAAATATTCCGTAGTAAGCAGTATTTTCTCTTTGTTTTTCCTCTATTGGCTGTGATTCTTTAAGGGGTTTAACAGTTTTGCTAATGGATATTTTAACCATACTTCAGTATCCATTATGGCCAGATATGGAATCTGTGCCATTCTGTCAGAAAACAGAATGGGAAACCAGAGCTAAAAACACCCTAGAGAGGAACACATGAGTAAGGAAGGATCATACACACACACACACACACACACACACACACACACACACACACACAGAGTTGTCTCTGATGATGGGAACAGCACTCATTGGGAACTACAGGTTTAATTTTCATCTTGTTACTTGGTTACTAGGATTTGAAAATTTTAAAGGCAAAGTGAAATCTGGTTATTTTAGTGGAAGAATAATTTTTCTATTTTTTAAGGACTTAATGTCAGTGCTAAGTGTCTATGTGTAGTATCTGTTACTAGTTCCAGGATCAGCTAGTTTTTAAAGGACGACATCTGGAAATGGTATTGATGGCATTAAGATATTCCCCCTCATCTCAGTCTTGATTGATTCCACTAATCCTACTCCCTCTCCACACCCTTGAAAAAGAAAAATAGAAATAATTTATTTCTTACACTTTTGCTCTAGGCCTGCTTACTAGCTTACACCTAAAATTAATAGTATACTTCTATAAGTAATCCCACTGTAACAGCTTTTTCAAGGTGATGTTGACGACTGATATATATGGTGTACTTTGTCAAGGTCATTATTCTTAATAACTAAATTTAATTTTACATGATTCACTTGCCTGGGTTTTATAACATGAAGAAGTAAGGAAGTAAATCAGTCCTATTTCCAATAGAGAACCCAGTGCCAAATCATTGGGTTTCCTCCAAAAACAGAGTGCTTAGGGGTTCTTTATGTTGCTGGGTGACTGCACAAAACATTTTTTAATGGTATTTGGTGTGATGATCTCATATCAATATACCTAAGTATAGTCTTTGTTTTGAGGAGCACAATCAATTGTTTTTATCCAGTACAGATACTCACATTGATAAATTAAGCATTAGTTTTAAAGCGTAGCAAGAGTAGAACACAAGTGTTTAAAAACAACTGTAAATCAAAAAGGAGGTGGGAAATTCTTCTAATATATTCACTTTTAACAGAAATAACAGTTTAAGATAATTTTGTATTTAATACGTATATTATTTTTCAAGGAAAAGACCATTTCAGGCATGAAGAATATCATTGCTGAGATGGAACAGGCATCAAGGTAAATCACTTACTCAAAAATTTGATCACTTATTGGGGGGCAAAGTACTATGTTAGGTACAAAGATAGAAACAAGGGGCTTAGTGTTACGTATAAGATGCTAGCTCTCTAATGTTGAAAGGAGGCCTGAGTCTGTTTGAGGAAGTAAAGAGAAGATCTGGTATTTGCCACAGGTAGGAAAGAGAAGAGCATTCAAGATAGAAAGAGTAGCAAAGAGCCATAGAGAACCACAGGTGGGGTTCAAAAGTCTCTGGAATGACAAGTAGGTGAATATGTTGGAACCCAAAGCGTAAGGGGAGAAACGAAGGAGAGGCTAGGCAGGCATGCAGAGGCCTGTGATACAGACAGATGAGCCTGTGGGCAGTGAGAAATCGTGAAAGGCTGGTGAGATGTTCTTTGTCAGAGAGATTACACAGGCTGAATAGGTGATGAGAGACTGGCCTTAGGAGGTTGAGGGACAGGGGTGTGGTGTTTGTGAGGGAGGGAATCTAGGAAAATGCCAAATGCTAGTGATGAATACTAGACATGATGAACCTACATGGAAAAAGATTTTTCTTTGGCTTTGAAGAGTTTCCAAGACCTTCTTGTAGGTATGTCTAGTAAGCAGTCAAATATGAGTCTAGAGTGTAAGGGGTGGCCTCTAGAGGCTGAGGCAGGGGTGGTCATTTCAGAGTTGTCTGAGTGTAGACAGGGTTGGGAGCCTCGGATATGAATAGGAACTGTCAGAGAGAAAGGGCTGGCATGAGAAGAATCAGAGGCTAAGGGTGAAGCCCTGAGAACTACTCATGTTTACGACGGCAGAGGAGCATCTAGCATCTGGAGGTAGGGCAATGACTTTCTTACACTTGAGCATCAGAGGTTTTGAATCTGTAACAAATCATTGACTACTGTGTGTATTTATTTGGCATCTTTTTCATAGTGTAATGTTGGCAACACAGAGAAATTTCAATGCACTATCTTTGCAGTATTTATTCCTGCAAATTTAAATATGTTTTAAACTCTTTAAATGTTTTCACACTGTCTATCTTCTGTCTCATGAAAATTTGTTATTCTGTTTCGGTAAAATGTCTCTTCTCATGTACTGCCTGATTTGTGGAATAGACAGTCTACTGAAGCCCTCATTATGTGTGAACAAGACATTTCCAGAATGCGCCGGCAGTTGGATGAGACAAATGATGAGCTGGCTCAAATAGCCAGGGAGAGGGACATCTTGGCTCATGAGAATGACAATCTCCAAGAACAGTTTGCTAAAGCTAAACAAGAAAACCAGGTATACTTGTTCCTAGAATCTTTTTCTCTGAGAAAGATATGTTTCTTCTGAGCTACAGCCCTCATTTCATTTCATAGAAAAGCTCAGGCTTTGGAACTAGCCATTTTTAAAATCTTTATTACACAGAAAATAAATGAAATTTTCAAACATACAGTTAAATATTAGAGAATAGGGGTGTACCATTTGTATTAAATCTTAGGAAGTACTTCCTTAGTGAAGGGTAAATATTGGAATAAACTAGCAAATGAAGATAACCTTCAGAAATGGTTAAGAAAAGAGTAGGTTTATTTGATGGACTATTTGCTCTTAATATGAGTATGTTGACCATGGCACGTTATTTGGTTCTCTTTAGCACTGTGATTCTTTTTAGGAAAATTTCCCTTATAATTAGTTCGTCTCTAAGCCAGTACAGTTCAGTTTTATCAAGAGCTCTCACTACCAGTATCACTTTTAATTTTATCATTAGAAAATTTTCCTTGAAAACTTTCTTCCCCCATTGAAATTCTTTAATACAAATGATTTCCTTCACTTTGCTGTCACTCTCAATGTGTTTAGTTTGCATCATAAAAGTCTGTATTTTTAAACTGTTAAATAATTTAATTTACATAATCAGATATAAAGATGCCAAGCTTTGTTAATTATTAAAAAGTTGTTTGAGGTGTTAAGGTAGTTTTTTCAAAAGTTAATGAACACTGGGATCCTGGAACAGAAAAAGGACATTCCATAAAAATGGAAGGAATAGGAATAAAATATGGACTTGAGTTAATAATTATCAACATTGGTTCATGAATTGTGACATGCAGTATACTAATATAAGATGTTAATAATAGAGAAAACTGAGTATAGCCTATATGGGCACTCTCTATACCATTTTAATAACTTTTCTATAAATCAAAACTTTTAAAATAAAGTTTAATTTTTAAAAGTTAATAGCAATAAAAACAAGAGATGTGAACTTATAGAATCTACTTTTGTATGCTCTATTTACCGCTAAAGCAAATAGGCTAAAGCTAACTGTAACTAATATTTATGAAAATTAGATGAAAAGCTCTCATCTTTACCATGCAGTTATATGCTGTTAACATTTTTTTTTTTTTACTGATTTTCAATATACTTTAAAAATTTTATACTGTCTTTTACATGAACTTTTTAATGTAGCTGGGATAAAACCACATACCACTTTACATCATGCTTTGTTCTACATGAGAAGACAACAGAGTGAAGTATTTAAGACTCACATGAGTGCAAGTCCCCCCTCCTGGCTGTGTGATCATATCAACTGTAAAAATGGAGAGTAGATGAGAATATGCCTGGCAAGAACTTAGAGCATCTAGCATTATCACTTGATAAATATTTTGTAACTGTTATTAGCTTACTATAACATCATAGTTGTTTGTTATACCTTAATAAACATGTTTCATAATCAGAAGAAAATTATTACCATAACAGTATACAAATGTTCAAGAGTAAATTTTTCCTATGTTTGGGTCATAGGGCCCAAATGTAGAAGATGGACTCCTCTGTGTTGTTAAAAAACCCTGTCATAGAAGATTTGGAAAACAGAAACCTTAAAATAATTTCTCGCTCAATACCACGATTTTAAACAAATTGAGATGTTTTTAGTGTATAATCCTGATTTTTTCAAATATGCATTAACATTTTTCTCTGTTATTAAAAATTTTTCCAACTTTTTCATGAATGCATAATGTTTTGTGTGGTCCCACTAGGTGGATACTGTATTTATTGCATCATTCACCTAATGAATAAATATTGTCACAGAGCAAATAATTCCTTAGTAAAAATTCCTTTTCATTAGATTTTATAGATTTGCTTTCAAATGGAATCAAACGCTTATGAGGTGTCATTTTTAAATTAAGAAGACTTCTGAGTGGACATGATATAGTGAATACCCATGTATCCATCTCTTACCTTTAACAAAAACCAACGTATTTGTCTTTCTTGTTTTTATGAGCTTTTAAAAATGTCTCAATACATCACCAGGTAGAAGATCACAGATTTGCTTTCCTCAAATTTACATTTATTCCAATAGTACATAAAAATGTACATTCCTTGCCATATCTTTGATTGCTAGTAAATTTTAACTTTAAGTATTATCTGTTTGTGATTCCTTTTTTGTGAATTGTGTTTGGGTTCTTTGTCCACTTACTGTTTGGACTCCTGTGTTTTCTCGCTGTTTTTATATGAGATTTATGTATTAAGTATATTAATTTTCTTTATCATATTGTAAATATTTAAATATTTATGGTGGTTTTGATGTAGAACAATTTTCAGTTTTTTGTAAAATCTGTCTTTTTCTCATAGGCACTGTCTAAGAAACTGAATGATACTCATAATGAACTTAGTGACATTAAACAGAAGGTTCAAGACACTAATCTGGAGGTTAATAAACTGAAGAATATATTAAAGTCTGAAGTACGTATACATTTATTTTCCCTTTGGCCCAAGATAGCTGAATTTGCACAAGAGCCATTGATTGATTGCACTCATAGGAATGGCTGCATCAAGTGCATTTCTTTAATGCACAGCATATTCTAATGTTGACAATTGTGTGTTAACTATATATTTAGAAGGTCACCAATATCCAGAAAGGTAACTCAAGAATGTACCCCTTTTGTTTTGCCACTTAACCATTTTAGATAAGTAGAACCCTCCTAACTGGATGGAGGACAAGGGGCCAGAATCAGCATGGGCTCACTTATATTTGGAAATGGTAATTGACAATTACAAACCTTTAACAGAAGAGGCTTCACCTGATTGTGTAGCAAATCAGAACTGATCACTCTGTTGCGGGACCATCTATTTCTTAGGGCCAGAGGGCAATGGCTGTCTTCTCCATTTCTCTGTCAGTAACCAGTTGACATAAAGCTGTAGGGCAGTTTTAAAAGAATGATATACAGTAAGTGCTACAGAAAGTTAAAGAGAGTAAAAATTGATGTGAGTAAAATTCAGTTTATGTATACTGTACCATGTATCTCCCAAGTACACACTCTGTACACAACTGTTATTTTTAGTACAGTAATAGGAGACACACATCTGATTCCTACTGGCACACTGGGAATATCTGAATCTTAAAAGCCAATACAGTAGATTAGTATGTTAACTTAATCAACAGACTTGGCACAGATCCTTCATATTGGTCAAGGTACCATTAGACCACAAGGTGGCGATATTAACTGAATTTCAACCAATCTCATGATTAATCATATTTGTGAGAACTTAAATCTTGATTTGAAAGTCTTATATAATTAGAGGTGTTGTTTATTGTAATTTTGGCAATAAATGTAGCCCGTGTTTCTAAACTGTTTACTAACAAGTAGGAGAGGAAGAGATCAAGGGTCTTTCAAATTAATTATCAGAATTATAAATAAGTTTTTAGAATGAGTTAGTCAAACCATACTATTAAAATAATTTTTTAAATGTATTTTGTAAAAGTAGCTTCATAATTATTACTCAACATAGTCTATTGTTTGTGGAGCTGATTGTTTTCTTTTAGAAATAAGCTCCTACTTTGGTCAGTCTATAGGGTCTAACAATGTGTTTCTTATTGTACGCCCAGTATATTCATGCGTGTGTATTTGGTGGGCTTCCCTGGTAGCCAACTCATAGGTTCTAACAATGTGGTTCTATATGGTACGCCCAGTATATACCTGAATGTATATGTATGAATAGTGTTTATCAGCATAGGTTTCATATTTTACTTCTGAGCAACTTCAGGCAAGTTGTTAGAACAGAGAGCAAAAGTGAGTCATAGAACAGCCTGTGGTGGAGAAGATTAAGGCTTGGGTTATGAATGAAAGGCAGGAACCAGATAGGAAATACACCAAACCCAGAGATTTATCAGAAGCTGATGCTTAAGATATGCAAGCGGTCAGAAGCTCTGTAGTCACAGTACCACCCAAAAGAGCAGCTGGAACCCCGAAATACATAGATACAAAAGGTCAGGTCAAGGCAGAAACTCAGAAACCAGACCAGCAAGTAGTCAGCAAGCAGATAAAGAGGCAATGAGGAGTTTTGTTTAAACAAAAGCAAATGTAAAAACATATTCATTGAGGTCTGGAAGATAAGAGTAAAACCATAACCTTACCAGAGTGTGTGTGACTCAGGAACCAGGGCAGATCCTTGGCCCACTCCATTTTGTTAATTATTGACCAATTTTCTAAATTGAGAGTATAGACAGGATTCCTTGAGGTTATGCTATAGATGGTCCTCTTGACAAGTAAATTCCTAGTGACCTGACAAATAATGTTTAATTTGCATCATATGTTTAACATTTTACTCTTTTAAAGTAACACATAAGATTTACTTTTTAGGAATCTGAGAACAGGCAAATGATGGACCAACTCCGAAAAGCCAACGAAGATGCTGAAAACTGGGAAAATAAGGCCCGTCAGGCAGAGGCAGATAACAATACCCTCAAATTAGAACTGATCACTGCTGAGGCAGAGGGGAACAGATTAAAAGAAAAAGTAGATGCCCTCAATAGAGAGGTCGAGCAGGTAAGTTTGGGAAAATATGCTTGTTGTACATCCGGCATCATATTTAAAAGAGTTTTGTTTAGCTTCCCATAAATTAAGTGTATAACAAACACTTAGGTTATCTAAGTATACTGTGAATTGTAGTCTCTCTGTTAAGTTTTCTCCACACTGTTTCTCTAATCTCTTACCTAAGTTAGAAAGTTAAGTCGCTCAGTCATGTCCGGCTCTTTGCGACCCCGTGAACTGTAGCCCACCAGGCTCCTCCATCCATGGGATTCTCCAGGCAAGAATACTGGAGTGGCTTGCCATTTCCTTCTCCAGGGGATCTTCTCGACCCAGGGATCGAACCCAGTTCTCCTGCATTGCGGGCAGATGCTTTAACCTCTGAGCCACCAGGAAGGCCATCTCTTACCTAACCTGCAACTATTAATAATCTTTAGCATTTTAAAAAATTAGAAACTATTTCAAGCATACAAAAACAGTGTCCTCCCCAAAAGTAATATAAAGGGCCCACATAAGCCCATGTCCAAGGTTGAAGAATGCTAACATTTTGCCATTTTTATAAAGAATATATTTATCATTTAAATAAAGTGTCTCTTTATTTAAAGAAACAAAACATTGCAGACCCAGCTCCACATCCTTTTCCTCCCCCGCTCTTGTGGTTGGTATGTACAACTTTGATGTCAGTGTATAACTCTCTTTCATGTTTGTACTTTATGTACATACCTGTCACCCACAAATGATGTATAATGTTTTGTGTGCTTTGAGTTTTGGGGAGTTTCGCTGTTTTTTAAAAAAATCTATTAGGGTCTAGCTGCTTAACAATGCTGCGTTGGTCTCTGCCGTCCAGCAGAGTGACCCAGCCATGCACACACATGGACCCGCCCTTCTATGGACTTCCTTCCCGTTTAGGCCACCGCAGAGCCCTGAGTAGCGCTCCCTGCGCCGTGCAGTAGGTTCTCAGTAGTTACCCATGTCACACATAGTCTCAGTATGTGTCAATCCAATCTCCCAGTTCATCCTATCTCCCCCTTCTCCCCCTTGGCACGTATGTTGTTTTCTTTACATGTTTTCTTTCTGTGTCTCTGTTTCTCCTTTGTAAATAAGACTGTCTGTACCAATTTTTTTTTTCAGATCCCACCTATGTATGTTAATATATATTTGTTTTTCTCTTTCTGACTTACTTTGCTCTATAATAGGCTCTAGGTTCATCCACTTCATTAGAACTAACTCAAATGTGTTCTTTATAGCTGAGTAGTATTCCATTGTAATATATGTACCACATCTTCTTTATCCATTCCTCTGTCAATGGACACTTAGGTTGCTTCCATGTCCTGGTTATTATAAATAGTGCTGCAGTGAACGGTGGGGTGCATGTATCTTTTGGAATTATGATTTTATCTGGATATACGCCCAGGAGTGGGATTGCTGGATCTTATGGTAGCTCTATTTTTAGTTTTTAAAGGAACACCCAACCTGTTTTTCATAGTGGCTGTACCAATTTATCGAGACATTCCCACCAACAGCGTAGGAGGGCTCGTTTTTCTCTGCACTCTCTACAACAGTTATTGTTTATAGATTTTTTTGATGATGGCTATTCTGACAGGTATGAGGTGATACCTCATTGTAGTTTTGATATGCGTCTCCTTAATAATTAGTAATGTTGAACATCTTTTTCATGTGCTTTTTAGCCGTGTCTTCTCTGGGAAAATGTCTATTTAGATCATCCACCCACTTTTTGATTGGGTTAATTGACTTTTTTTTTTAATATTGAGCTGCATGAACTTCTATATTTTGGAGATTAATCCTTTGTTGGTTGCTTTGTTTGCAAGTATTTCCTCCCATTCTGAGGGTTGTCTTTTTGTTTTTGTTGATGGTTTCTGTTGCTGTGCAAAAGCTTATAAGTTTATTTAGCTATTACTTGCTTACTTTTTATTTTCACTATTCTAGGAGGTGGATTGAAAAAGATCTTGCTGCAATTTATGTCAAAGAGTTATGTTTTTCACCAAGAGTTTTATAGTATCTGGCCTTACATTTAGATCTTTAACCCATCTTGAGTTTACTTTTGTCTATGGTGTTAAGTGTTCTAATTTCATTCTTTTACATGTAGCTGTCCAGTTTTAACTTCCTGTTTTAAATTTCATAGATTTCTTTTATTTTTTCTTTTCTTCTCCTTCCTTTCAATTTGCTTCTTTTTCCAGTTTCCTAAGGTGGAAGCTTAGATTACTGACTTTAGATCTTCTTTTTCTAATAAATGCATTCACTGCTACAAATTTCCTTTAGCTACTGCTTTCACTGCATGCCACTAATTTTGATAAGTTATATTTTACTTTAGTTAAAATATAAAAATATTTCTCTTGAAATTTCTTTTCTGAGCCATGTGTTATTTAGAAGTGTGTTGTTTAATCTCCACATATTTGGGGATTTTCCAGTTACTTTCTGTTATTGATTTCCAGTTCAATTTTACTGCGGTTGGAGAGCATACTTAGTATGATTTATATTTTTAAAAATTTGTTAGGCTGGGACTTTCCTGGCAGTCCAGTGGTTGGGACTTCACCTTCCAAAGTGCAGGGAGTGTGGACTCAGTCTCTGTTCCAGGAGCTCAGATCCCACATGGCCCAGGGCCAAAAAACTAAAGCATAAAAAAAAGCATCAATATTGTCACAAGTTCAATAAAGACTTTAAAAATGGTCGACATCAAAGAAAATCTTTAAAAAAAATTTTTAATGTATGTTTTGTAGCCCATATGTAGTCCCAGTTCAGTTCAGTTCAGTTCAGTCTCTCAGTTGTGTCTGACTCTGCAACCCCATGAACCACAGTACGCCAGGACTCCCTGTCCTGGCATATGTAGTCTACTTAGAGAATATGTAGTCTACTTAGAGAATATTCCACGTGAGCTTTAGAAGAATGTGCATTCTGCTATTGTTGAATGAAGTTTCTAGAACTGTCAGTTCCAGCGATTGGTACTGTCCAATTCAACTGTGTGGTTACTCATTTTCTGCCTGCTAGATCGGTCAGTTGCTGATAGGAGCATGATGTCATCTCCAGCTGTAGTTGTGGACTTATGTGTCTCTCCTTGCCACGCTATCATTTCTTCCTTTATGTATGTTGACATGTTATGTTGTTAGGTGCATATACTTTATAGGTTGTTATGTTTGGTGAATTAAGCTTTTTATCATTATTTAATGTCTCCTCTTTATCTCTGGTAAGTTCCCTTGCTCTGAATCAGCTTGTTTAAAATTAATTAACTACTCCAGCCTTCCTTTGATTTGTGTTTGCATCTTTATATTAAAGTGAGTTTCTTGTAAATACATATAGTTGAGTTTTGTTTTTTCCCCATTCTGACATCCTGATGTCCACTCACATTTGCAATGATTATAGATATAGTTGGGTTAATAATTATCATATTTGTGACTGTTTTCTATTCATTGCCCTTGTTTTATGTTTCTTTTTTGTCTTTCCCTCTTTATTGCTTTTCTGGTTTTAGTTGAGTGTCTTTTATGATTATATTTTATCTCCTAAATTAACATATCAATATACTTCTTTTTTTAAACTTTTAAAGTGGTTACCCTACAATTTTCAGTATACACTTATGACTAAGTCTGCATTTTTAAATAGCACTATGTGACTGCAGGAATAGTGCAGGTGTCTTTAATGTTGTATTTGAAATTCCTCTCTCCCATCCTTTATAACATTACTGTCCATCAGTTTACTTATCCAAGAGCTATAATCACTGAATAAATTCTTGCTATTGTGTTGAGCCAACTGTTATCTAGTAAATTAGTTAAAAATAAGAAAAATAAAAGATTTTATTTTATCTTCACTCATTCTGTCTCTAATGTCCTTACACTATTTGTGTAGATATGAGTTTCTCACATATGTTATGTAACTTATTTGAAAATCTTTTCTCAACTTTTCTTCCAAGGAAAATCTACTAACAACACAACCCAGGGATCGAACCTGGGTCTCCTGCATTGCAAGCAGATTCTTTACTGTCTAAGCCACCAAGGGAGCCCATGACCACCATCAGTTCAGTTCAGTTCAGTTCAGTCCCTCAGTCGTGTCTGACCCTTTGTGACACCATGGACTGCAGCACGTCAGGCCTCCCTGTCCATCACCAACTCCCGGAATTGACCCAAACTTAGGCCCATTGAGTCGGTGATGACATCCAACCACCTCATCCTCTGTCATCCCCTTCTCCTCCCACCTTCAATCTTTTCCAACATCAGGATCTTTTCAAATGAGTCAGCTCTTCGCATCAGGTGGCCAAAGTATTGGAGTTTCAGCTTCAGCATCAGTCCTTCCAATGAACACCCAGGACTGATCTCCTTTAGGATGGACTGGTTGGATCTCCTTGCAGTCCAAGGGACTCTCAAGAGTCTTCTCCAACACCACAGTTCAAAAGCA